AAATAAATGTGGGTGACCACACTTGCTGCTAGTTTAATCATAAAAAAACAACAGCTTTATTTAAGAAGTATTTGCATTATTGCATTTGGGCCAAAGCCCTTTGTCAGTTTCATCATAAATCTTCTTTTGAATGAGTTTTTCTTTTGGCTGTGAAGCACTGTGAACAGGAAGCAGTGTGAACAGGAAGCAGTGTGAACAGAAAACCTTGTGAACAGACAGCAGTGTTAACAGGAAGCAGTGTGAACAGACAGTCGTGTGAACAGGAAGCAGTGTGAACAGGAAGCAGTGTGAACAGAAAACCTTGTGAACAGACAGCAGTGTTAACGGGAAGCAGTGTAAACAGGAAGAAGTTTGAACTGAAAGCCTTGTTGACAGTAAGCAGTGTGAACAGAAAGCCTTGTGAACAAACTGCAGTGTGAACAGGAAGCAATGTGAACAGATAGCAATGTTAACAGACAACTTGTGAACAGACAGCAGTGTGTACAAACAGCAGTGTGAACAGACAGCAGTGTGAACAGGAAGCAGTGTAAAATGAAGCAGTGTAAATAGACAGCTGTGTGAACAGACAACATTGTGAACCTACAGCAGTTTGTATAAACAGCAGTGTGAACAGACAGTTGTGTGAACAGGAAGCCTTGTGAACCTACAGCAGTGTGTACAAACAGCAGTGTGAACAGGAAGCAGTGTGAACAAGAAGCAGTGTAAACAGACAGCTGTGTAAACAGACAGCTGTGTAAACAGACAGCTGTGTGAACAGACAGCTGTGTAAACAGACAGCTGTGTGAACAGAAAGCAGTGTGAACAGGAAGCAGTGTGAACAGGAAGCAGTGTGAACAGACAGTCGTGTGAACAGGAAGCAGTGTGAACAGACAGTCGTGTGAACAGGAAGCAGTGTGAACAGACAGTCGTGTGAACAGGAAGCAGTGTGAACAGACAGCAGTGTGAAGAGAAAGGCTTGTGAAAAGGAGGCAGTGTGAACAGAAAGCCTTGTGAAAAGGAAGCAGTGTGAACAGAAAGCCTTGTGAAAAGGAAGCATTGTGAACAGACAGCAGTGTGAACAGACAACAATGTGAACAAAAAGCCTTGTGAACAGACAGCAGTGTGAACAGGAAGCCTTGTGACCAGAAAGCCTTGTGAACAGACTGCAGTGTGAACAGGAAGCAGTGTAAACATTCATCACTGTAAACAGACAGCCTTGTGAACAGGAAGCAGTGTAAACATTCAGCACTGTGAACAGACAGCCTAGTGAACAGGAAGCAGTGTAAACATTCAGCACTGTGAACAGACAGCCTAGTGAACAGGAAGCAGTGTAAACATACAGCAGTGTGAACAGACAGCCTTGTGAACAGGAAGCAGTGTAAACATACAGCAGTGTGAACAGAAAGTCTTGTGTACTGACAGCAGTGTGAACAGACAGCAGTGTAAACAGAAAGTCTTGTGAACATTAAGCAGTGTAAACAATAAGCAGTGTACAAAAGAAGCATTGTGAACAGACAGCAGTGTAAATAGACATTAGTGTGAACAGAAAGTCTTGTGAACTGATGGCAATGTGAACAGACAGCCTTGTGAACAGACAGCAGTGCAAACAGAAAGCCTTGTGAAAATGAAGCAGTGTGAACAGAAAGCCTTGTGAACATTAAGCAGTGTAAACAATAAGCAGTGTAAACAGGAAACAGTGTAAAAAAGAAGCAGTGTGAACAGGCAGCAGTGTGAACAGGCAGCAGTGTGAACAAGAAGCAGTGTAAACAGACAGTAGTGTGAACAGACAGCAGTGTGAACATGAAGCAGTGTAAACAGACAGTAGTGTGAACAGACAGCAGTGTGAACATGAAGCAGTGTAAACAGACAGCAGTGTGAACAGACAGCAGTGTGAACATGAAGCAGTGTGAACAGACAGTAGTGTGAACAGACAGCAGTGTGAACATGAAGCAGTGTAAACAGACAGCAGTGTCAACAAGAAGCAGTGTGAACAAGAAGCAGTGTGAACAGACATCAGTGTGAACAGACAGCAGTGTGAAAAGACAACAGTGTGAACAAAAAGTCTTGTGAACAGACAACATCGTGAACAGACAGCAGTGTAAACAGACAGCAGTGTAAACAGACAGCAGTGTGAACAGACAGCAGTGTGAACAGACAGCAGTGTAAACAGACAGCAGTGTGAACAGGAAGCAGTGTGAACATGAAGCAGTGTGAACATGAAGCAGTGTAAACAGACAGCAGTGTAAACATGAAGCAGTGTGAACATGAAGCAGTGTGAACAAGAAGCAGTGTAAACAGACAGCAGTGTAAACAGACAGCAGTGTGAACATGAAGCAGTGTGAACATGAAGCAGTGTGAACATGAAGCAGTGTGAACAAGAAGCAGTGTGAACAGACAGCAGTGTGAACAGACAGCAGTGTGAACATGAAGCAGTGTTAACAGGAAGCAGTGTGAACAGACAGCAGTGTGAACAGGAAGCAGTGTGAACAGACAGCAGTGTGAACAAAGACATAAATGAAACTTCATATTCAGCTGATTCAAGCTGAGTGAAATAAACGTGTTTCTTTATGTTACCGTTGGTTCTGACTGGATCTGTGCTGAAGCTGAACGAATGTCTGTGAGGAGGCGGGGGCTCAGAACTCCTCTCTGACCTCGCTCTGCTCCTCATCTCCATCCTGCAGAGGGGGGCTGGCTTCGACAAAGAGACAAGTTTTCTTTAATGTCAGGAGCTGCATGAATTTACAGCTTCAGTCCAGTTCTCTGTTCATGAACTGCACAAACTTTCAATTTGATAAATATTAAACCATAACTGAGCTGAAGAACTGATCTGGTGGTCCCGGGTTCAGGAGGTCCCACCCAAGACATGAAATCATTGAAACAAAAGCAGAAAAACCTGATAGAACTGAGCAAGGTGGAACCTGTTCAGAACCCTGCTGAGGAGCTAAACGAACAAAAACAAAAGCTGAATCTTAAAGCTAAAATCAGCACAATGCCAGCTTAAAGCTAAAACTTTATAAAGTTTAGCAGAGGTGCCACCAAAGGGGGGTCAAAACAACTGGCTGCGCTTTCAATGGCCCCCTTGGACAGATAGTTTTAATCATTTGAGCTTTTTAAGTTTCGTAAAAATCTCTTCAAACCAAAAACCAACTCTGGTTTTATTTTATGAGTTAAAAATAAAACTTCAAATGTTGAATAAGGACAGCTGATCTAAAACCATCAGTTTACTTACTGATGGTTTTAGACCCCAGATTAAAGTTATGAGAGAACAAAGATGAAGAATCAAACTGATGTGTGGAGGGAGGGTCTAAGGTTTGAGCTGAAGGTAAAAACCTGAAAGTTTTTTTTTCTCTGAACTCAAACCTGTAAAAAAATTAAATAAAAAAATAAAGTCTTCATATCGTCTCTTTGAGACAAACGTTCTCCTCGTGTTTCAATTCTTCTTCAGAGTTAAACGTCTTCTTTTCAGGTTGACGCCTGAAAATAATCATCATCACCTGAGGGAGCGTTCTGATTGGCTCCTGAGGGAACCCTGAGCCAGGTGGATCAGAGATCCCTGGTCCCTTATTTATTCTGGCCTTCTTATAAAAACACTTCAGAGTCAGAAAACAGAAATCTGTTTCCAGCAGGGTCCAGAGCTACTGGTCTACACCGAGACCAGAACCAAAGGTCTACACGGAGACCAGAACCAAAGGTCTACACGGAGACCAGAGGAAGGAAAACAGTTTTTAAGGGTGTATCCCACCAGGAACATCCTTTGGTCCACTTGTTTGGTCCGGACCAAATAGCTGACTTAATTTTTTTCCTTTGGTGTGGTTTGCATTCACATTGTTCTTTTTACAAGCGGACTGTAATTTATAAACAAAGCCACGCAGGTGATGGTCATTGCTTCCATTGGACAGAAATGATGGGGGCGGGACAGAGAGTAGACCCAGAAATAAAGATGCCGTTAATACAACTGACTATTAAGAATATCAAGAGCAGCTCATTCAGTGGTGCTTTCACAATAATATACTTCTTATATTTGGGACATGATGTGAAATGTGTGCCACAGCCTAAAGGAGACATGATGCACCATGTTCCCTGACCCACAGCGGCTCATTGTTCGTAGAGCAGTGTTAGCATTAGCAACACTGGAGAGCTAATGTTGCTTAGCAATGGTGTTTAGTGAAGTCCAAAAAGGCCGGTCTATATTCACACCTGAAGTGAACCACACCAGAGTTCGTTTGGAAGTGGACCAAGACCACCTCAAAAACAGGTCTTGTTCCGGTTGGTTGATCCACACCAGGGTCCTCATGAGTGTTTTCACACCCACATAAAAGTTCTAGACCAATGGGGGAAATGAACTCTGGTCCATTTAAGGCGACCCAAACGTGTCGGGTGTGAACACACCCTAAAATAAATAGTTTGACAGAATGTCCCTCTGACTTTGTGTTGGGTATGAGTCTCAGCAACTACCACAGAGATTAGAGTAATTTTAGTGATTGAGTTGTAGATGAGACAATGATCTGTTCTGGAATATTTTGCTTCTGGTCTAAAGCTCAGAATCTTTAGAAAACTTAAAAACTTCAAGAAGCATAGAACCTTTAAAGGTTCTGGATGTTTAACTCAGATCATCTAAAGGTTCTGAATATTTACCTTGGATCCTTTAAGGGTCCATCCATCCGTCCATTATCTATACACGCTTATTCCTTTCAGGGTTGCGTGGGTCACTGGTGCCCATATCCAGCAGTCACAGTGCAAAGGGCGGACCTTTAAGGGTCCTGAATCATTAACTCATATCATCTAAAGATTCTGAATATTTTACTCACGTCATCTAAAGATTCGGAATCGTTAACTCGGATCCATTAAAGGTTCTGAATCTTTAACTCAGATCATCTAAATGTTCTAGATCTTTAACTCAGATCCTCTAACGGTTCTGAATCTTTAACTCAGATCATCTAACGGTTCTGATTCTTTAACTCAGATCATCTAAATGTTCTGGATCTTTAACTCAGATCATCTAAATGTTCTGGATCTTTAACTCAGATCTTGTTTTACAGGGGTTCTGGTTTTGCCAATGGAGGTGGAAGGTGGAGGTTCCGTCACGTCGTCTTGTTGGTTTTCTTGTGGATTTCTGTGGACCGGACCGGTAGGATCTGAGTCTTCTCCTATATTTAAACTCATTTTGTGTTTTGTTCCTAAAGAGTTTCTTGTGCAGGTGGATTTAGTCTTTATTTTAGTTCTAATATTGACCGGAAACAAAGAGAACCTTTGTTCTCTTTCTGCTGACAAACAACTCAGCTAAAGTCTGTTAAAAAGCTCAAATTTAATTTTTCTGCTCCCCTGAAACTGACATAAAAAGGCTAAAGTCAAACTTTTAAAGTGAACCTGTAATTTTGTTTGAGTTTGGAGAAAAACAGTTTGTTTGTTTCGAGGCGAGGCTCGTTGCGTAACACGAAGGCGTGATGTTGTGGCGAGGAAAAAACAACACGCCTCCCTCCCTCCGCCGGCCGACAGCCTTACAAACGACTTGCCACAGAAATTAATCTGAATTAGTTTTTCATTTCCTGTAAACCACAGCGAGAGAAACAAACTGGAAAACAAAATCCTCCGTGACCAGAGGGACTCCATGAATCTGAATCAATTTAATGTTTGTTTCGTCCTGAAACTCTGTCCGACACACAAAATCATCCTTAAAAAATAAAACACAAATCATTTTTAAACTAAAACCTAAGTTTTCCAACAAAACTCTTACTTTGAAATGATGAAAACTTGCAGTTAACGTTTCAACTCGTTTCCTCAAACATTTAGCGTTGATTTTTCTTTCATTACCCATGATGCACCACTGACAGAAACATCCAACCACAGTGCAGTTGATGCTCATCGTGGCTGCCCGATTCGTACCGGAAGCACGATCCGTACTGTCCTGGAAACATTGTTTTTAGCATGTAGCATTTCGCTAAACCAATGACAGAATTCATTGGATTTCAGTCTTTCATTCATCACCTGCAATATTTCATAGAAAAGGCAACGTTTGCAACAGCTGTGGATTTTTATTCCAAGAAAAAATAAATAAAACTAAGATAAAATGAGTTATAACATGATTGTCTAAAAAGTAAATATGTGCACATTGCAAATCTATATTTTATTAATCAAAATATATTCAATATTAAAACTGTTTTCAGAATATAATGTAAAACACCTTTATAATTAAGTGTAGAAATAAATATTTTCAGTATTTTTTCCTAAACGGAGCACAATCCAGATGAGCTGACAGTACAGATCGTGTTACGGGGAAGGATCGGGCAGCCACACTCATGATTCATGCCGCCATCTTGGTAGGTGCTATTTGTCTTTAATTGGAACCATCTTGGCATAAGTATCAGAGACCACAGCTAGCCTTGACTAAGGAGCAAGATATTTTACTAACAGTTGTTTTAATTATTAGAACCTGCTTTGTAAACAGTGAAGTGTTGATGTATTTATTTCAGTAAATATTTATAATAAAAGTGAACTAATGTTTAACCAAACAGGAGCTCAGGTTATGTCTAAATACTAAAGTTCATTCACAAAAGACTAAAAAATTTCTGAATTATGAGGAAACAGTTTAAGTTATTAAAGGAAAATTTAGTCCAGACTCAGGTACCTGAGCTCTGATTGGACAATTGTAGCACCTAGCAAGATGGCCGCCACAACCTGAGGAGTTCTGTTCACATTACAGAGAAAATACCTCAAATAATGTCAGCCTGCCTGAAGATGTTGACACAACTTTCTGTCTCTGGTTTGATTGAAAGCATTTTTATGAAATTTAACTCATTTTAACACAAAAATTAAAAAACCAGGATAAAGTGACGAAGAAAAGAAAACTTTTGAGGACACAAAGTGATTGGTGGATTGGGGGAAGAAAGCTGCTAGGTTAAAAGAAAGAGCTTTAAAAAATTGTGTGTCATGTTTTATATGTTTCTGTCATGATTTATTTGTACAAGATTTTCCTGTCTGTCTTGTTATTTCTGTTTTCTTGCTGTGGAGGAAAATGTTTCATTTTAAACTGAATAGAAATGAAAACTTGATGGAAACTGGTACGGGACGTTTTCCTATGACAGCTGGGTTTTGACATGATTTACATCTTTCATCCGTCACGTTTCTCTCTCTCTCCTTCCATCATGTCATCTGTTTGTTCTCTCACATTTTCCATCTCTGAGCCTCGAGCACGTTTTCATTAACAAACTGCTGCTTTCATCAAATCCATCAGATCTGTTTCCATCTGGACCTGATCCCAGATCCAGGTCCTGGTTCTGATTCAGCCTAAAACACAGAACATCACCATCCATCCGTCCATCTGTCCATTTTCCATCCATCCATCCATCCATCTGTCCATTTTCCATCCATCTGTCCATTTTCCATCCATCCATGCGTCCATTTTCCATCCATCATCCATCCATTCCTCCATCAATTTACCATCCATCCATCTATCCATTTTCCATCCATCTATCCATCCATCCTTCTATCCATCATCCATCCATTCCTCCATCCATTTACCATCCATCCATCCATCCATTTTCCATCCATCCATCCATCCATCCACCATCCATCCATCCATCATCCATCCATTCCTCCATCCATTTTCCATCCATCCATCCATCTATCCATCATCCATCCATCCATCCATCCATCATCCATCCATCCATCTGTCCATTTACGATCCATCCATCATCCATCCATCCATCTGTCCATTTACGATCCATCCATCGTCCATTCATCCATTTACCATCCATCCATCCATCCATCCGTTCACCATCCATCTATCCATCATCCATCCATCCATTCACCATCTATCCATCATCCATCCATCTATCTGTCCATTTACCATCCATCCATCCATCCATCCATGAATCAGGTTGTCTTGGCTGTTGTAAAAGCTAAAGTAGAAGATCTCAGCTGTTATAAAAGCTAAAGTAGAAGATCTCAGCTGTTATAAAAGCTAAAGTAGAAGATCTNTAAAAGCTAAAGTAGAAGATCTCAGCTGTTATAAAAGCTAAAGTAGAAGATCTCAGCTGTTATAAAAGCTAAAGTAGAAGATCTTGGCTATATTACTGACTGTGCCATCCTTGTGCTTTCAGACCTAATAGCTGTTTTTGAAACTGTGGGCCATGACATTCTGTTATCTCGGCTGGACCAGTGGGTGGGAATCAAGGGTGTTTCCTTGAATGGGTTCAGGTCCTACCTATCCAATCGAACTTTATGTGTTAGTCTTGAGGGGTCAGTGTCCTCCTCTTCTCCTCTTTTGTGTGGAGTCCCTCAAGGCTCAATTTTAGGCCCGCTTTTGTTTTCTCTGTATCTGCTACCACTCGGTTCTATTCTCAGAAAGCATGGTATTTCATTTCATTGTTACGCAGACGACAGCCAGATCTATGTCCCTCTCAGAAAGTCAAATTCACATGCAATAGACTCACTTCTTATGTGTCTTGAGGATCTGAAGGACTGGATGACACAAAATCTTTTGAGTTTTAATGAAGCCAAGACTGAGGTTATGGTTTTTGGAGGTACTGTTGGCCACTCCCCTATAGATATAGGTTCCTTGACTCAGTACAATAAATTGTTAGTGAGGAATTTGGGAGTTGAAATAAATCCTGAACTTAAATTAGATAACCACATTAGGTCAGTTGTCAGAAGGAGTTTTTATCATTTGAGGCAGCTAGCCAAAATAAAACCCATCATTTCAAGAAGATATTTTGAGACAGTAATTCATGCCTTTATCACCACCCAGCTGGATTACTGTAACACACTTTATCTGAGGGTCAGTGGGCCCTCTATTGCCCGACTGCAAGGAGTCCAACATGCTGCAGTGAGGCTTTTAACTGGCACACGTAAATATGAGCACATTTCTCCAATTTTAGCTTCACTCCACTGGCTGCCTGTGCTGTTTAGGATCAATTTTAAAATACTTTTATTTGTTTTTAAATCTTTGAATGGCCTTGCCACACTATACTTGTCTGATCTGCTGCACCTCTATTATCCCTCTCGATCCCTCAACTGCTCCTGGGGGGTCTCTAAAACCAGACTCAAACTCAAGGGGGATCGATCTTTTGCTGCAGCAGCTCCTAAACTTTGGAACGAGCTGCCTCTCCAACTCAGGCAGTCCTCTTCACTGGCTGTTTTTAAAACTCGTCTTAAAACCCACTTGTTTACTTTTGCTTTGGACGCTGTGTGAGGGGTTGTGTTGTCCATTTATACT